CATTTGCTCCTGGTGTAATTAAAACCAACAGCTGTCTGCTCTGCAGCAGGATCCGTTCACCGGCAGCACCATGGAGGAGGAAGCCGAGCCAGAGCCCCTCTTCCCCTCAGACAGCTACGCCGCCGAGGCCTTGGCAGCGGACATGGACCCCTGGATCGTGTTCGACGCCAGAAGGACTCCCAGGTCCGAGTTTGACGGCTGGCTGGAGAGCAACAGACCATCGCAGGTGCACCGCTTCGGTAACGAGCAGAGCGGCCTGGGTCCGGTGGGCTGGATCTCCATACTGGGTCCAAACCACACCCCCGACCCGGAGGACGTGACGGGCCTCCAGGAGAGCTGGGAGAAGCTGCTGGCGAGTTCCCGGCCGGTCACCTTCCAGACCGTGAAGGAGCTGGCCCTCAACCACAGGGTGTTGTCCGGGAAGTGGCTCATGTACCTGGACACCGGCTTCAAAGTGGATCACGCGTGGGAGTGCGTGGCCAGAGCGACCTTAGATGGCAGAATCCGCAGCGCTAAAGTGAGTCCCTATGATCCCAACGGTGATCCCAGGCATGTGATCTGCGTCTATAACCAGGACTTCACAGATGAAGGGGAGGTTGTTGGGCTGGACTCCTTCATCCGGGCCTCAGGGGTCAAATGTCAGCTCTCCTATAAGCCAGATGTTTACACCTACCTGGGAATCTACAGGAACAACCGCTGGAAGCTCTGCCCCACCATCTATGAGAGCAAGTTTGACTTGGAGTGCGTTCCCAGGCGCTCTCACATCATCAACAAAGTCACCAACCTGGAAGTCACATAAAGGAGAAAAGGCCTTTTCTGGACCCGTTTGATGGGATTTAATCTCAGATCATTTTTCTTTTCTGTTAAAACAAACATTTGATGCATATTTTGTGACTTCTTTGTCTGGTTTCAGGTTGGATTTAAATGCATGATTTCAGTTTACTTTCACCAAGTTAGAGATCTTAAAATCCAACATTTAAGAGTTCAGCGTTTACAAATAAAAACACGCATTTGAAAACAGTTTTTTTCCTCTATACATGTTTGTGGTTTTTATTTGCAAAAGAAAAAACCTTTTTGGAATCTAGACAGAGTTAGTCATTCATCGGATACATCTGATAAGATATATATGTACAAAAACTGAATTATACATTGAACTAAACGTGTCGCTACAGTCTGAAACGTGAGTTTTACCACAGTCTGTGTTCATGTACAAAAAAAACAAAACAAAAACAGCTGTCAGATGAGCAGAGGAGTAAATCCTCGGTTTAGTTAGCATACAGTTATTTACATGTAGCCCTTCATTTGGTTTCCTGCCACTTTCCGTTCAAATTAGGCACATAAATCTGGATTATCACCAAACATAATCAATACTTATAATGAAATCCGCCCAGATCATCGTTTCGTCGCTGGATAGAAGCGTTGATGGATTTCTATCCGTCAAATTATCTGCCCGTTTCTTTACTTCAAAGCAAAAAGGCAGATCTGATCAATGAATGGTTTAAAAACATGATAAACATGTTCAGAACAACCTTCAAGCTCTACCGCCTTCAATCGGCGTCCACGGTTCGAAGTTCCGAAAGGTGGAAAGTCCTGGAGTGTCCCTTCCCCCACTTGTTGCTGCGCATTTTAAGGTCATTCAAAGGAAAAAAAATCTCCAATTTGAACTTATTTTGATTGAAGCGGTATTTATACCATGATGCCATGGTATTATTTTGTTTAAACCAGGATTAGAGAAGGATATTGGGACAACCCCATACAGGCTCATGCCGTTTTTTTAAAAAGCTAAATACAGTTCTGTGGGGTTTTTTTAATTCGGTGACAGTATTTCTATGTTTGTCCACAGCGAGACCTTCTGCTACCTCCGTCTCTTCGTTCCAGTCCATCCTCTTCCTGTTGGGATATAAAAACGGTTTATAAAGAGAGAAAAACTTTAGGTCGGGTGTCCTGACACGAAGCCGGGTTGGCTCCCGCTGTTAAAAATGGAAATGAGGCGCTCTTCGTCGGCAGACATCAGGACGTCCAAGTCGTCCAGCACCGTGGGCTGCTGGTTGTTGTTGGACGCCAAGACGATCATGTCCTCGCTCCGGAGCAGGTTAGCGATGCTGTTGGGGTAATTCATGTAGGTGCTTCCTGGGTTGCTGACGGAGTCGGAGGGGTTCTGGGATGCAGCGCTGCTCTGGGCGGAGCCGGAGAGGCCCCCGTGGTGGGAGGAGGATAGCATGGACGTAGCGGGCGCAGGGTTCAGAAGGTCCTCAAAATCATCCATGTTTAGGCTGTCCAGGGTGCCGGGGACCTGGGCGTCGGAGAAGCTGGGGAACTCCGGGATGTCGTCGTCTGCCAGCGGGGCCTCCACTCTGAACTGCTGCTCCTGCAGGGGGAAGGAGCCCCCGGTTTGTGAGGGGGCCCCCTGAGGAGCCGCGGACTCCTGGGCCATGGTAGAGGAGATGTTGGGGAAGAACTCGTGAAGGTCTGACAGGTTAACCGTAGAGTAGTCCTGGTTGGCTGTGGAGGAGGTGGTGGTGGTGGTAGAGGAGGAGGAGCCCGACGCTGAGCTCATGGTGAAGGTGGGGGCCGGGTTGGGTTTGGGCTGAGGGCCCAGCTTCAAACTGTCCATCATCTTCCATGTTTGGCTTGTTGCCGAAGGGACGGATGAAGACGCCTCCGCCTTGGGTAAAAACAGGTGGCCCGGTTGGCCGTACGAGAAGGGGGTCTGGGTTTTCATCCCACTGCTGCTGGCGGACACCTCAGCAACTAGAAAAACAAAAAGCTATTAGATTTACACCAAAGAACGACCGATTGGTTCAATGTTTGGTATTGTTTCGAAAAAATAAGAAAAACATTCAGAATGAAAATGCTAATTAGCTTCTAGCGGGACGAGCTGCGGACCAAACGGCTAATTTTCTAAAGGTCTTAAGAATAAAACCCACCTGCTTGTGTGTTCATTAAGGGCAGCTTAGCGGGGACTGTTCTCCGCGCCTGGTTGATCTGCCGCCTCTCTTGTGAAACAGGCACTAAAATTTAAAGAGACATGCTGTCAGTGGAGAGTTACGGAAGAGGATTAGGGCCACTGGAAAAAAAAAAAAA